TTTTGATTCAGAACGACAGCAGTAGGTGTGTAGCAATCTTGACTCAGAACGAGGGAAAAATGTGTGATGCAATCTTGGCTCAGAAAGACAAATATGTGTGAAGCATTTTTTTGATTCAGAAAGAGAGAAACATGTGTGAAGCAATTTTGAAAAAAAAAAAGAAGTGAAATATGAGTGAAGCAATCTTGACTAATTCGTATGATACAGTAAACAAGAATTCACCCTTAGTTTACTTTAATTAAGTTTTATATTATAGGGAATAATCTTCAGTATATAAAGGGATCTAGCATATGTATCGGCTCCGCATGCTGATCGCCACTAATTACTAATGTGGTATTCTGCTTTTATTGAAGCCAGTAGTAATGCTAATAGGTGAATATGCACCGTGTTGCGTTAATTATATATGATTTATATATGATTTTAATAATATATGATTAAAAAGAAAGATCAGAATGCTAAGACGAGGGTGGAATGATATCCACCAATCGTAGGACGTCCAGACCATGGGTCCTTTCAAGACTCTCTCTTCTCCTCCTCAGTTCGGCTGCCCACTTTTGCACTGTTGATAAAGCTGGAGTGACATCCCATAACGTTGCAATCATGTCAGCAAGATTGTCCTTTGGTGATAAACCCACGTAGTTGATAACACCGCGACGCCAGATTTTGTCCATTTTCAAAAGAAGTAACTGCTAGTTATATTTGAATCTTCTTTTTGCAATCAGATAACAGTTTACCCGGAACGAAAAATGCAGAAGTGCTGAAATGAAAACATGCAAGATTACACGGCTCAAGTATCACTCCTTCATAGTCAGCTCACTTTCGTACATGGCACTTTTTAAATCAGTTCCACCCCATGAAAGGCAGTAAATCCACAAAGACAGAACGGGTTACTAGGCGTGGAAGAATTAGGAACAGAAACATTAATAATGAGCGGGAAGGAGCAAGAGTAATCAGGAGTACAGTCGATAGCGATTGACATTGCATTTAAATTTTTGCAGGTTAAAGTTGGCTGGAAAACATGGAGCTGGAAGCGAGAAGTGCTATTAAAGATACAGTTAGCATAGTATATATTTATTATTTTTTGTATTGATGCGGCATTCACCCTGGACGGATTGAGCCGGCTTCTTCCTGTTATGAGAAGAAGATTCTTGGGATAAATTACAGAAGTAGGGTACCCAGGCCTACTCGGATAACGTTCTTGCTTGCCGCGGGGTTCCCACGGACGCAGAGACAGGAACGACCAGAAGCCGCCGGTTACCGATGCAGACGCTCCTTGGATTTTCACCAGAGCCCTTGTTAGCCGGCGTGTGTGTCAGACCTGTCCGCCTTGGGTGGCCCTACCAGGAACGAAGTTCCGGACGGCATAGCTCTGACACTATAGTATATAGTGTCAGAGCTATGTATATATATACTATAGTGACAGTATAGTATATATGGTTACATCTAACCAGATCAAGTGTAAATTAATGAGATTTCGACGCCAGTTATATGCATTTATATTCAAAAAGTCTAGGTACCATAGCTAAGAGCGATATTTATTTTCGCTTATTTACAGAAAATGTGGCACAAGGCCAAAAATAAGGACTGGGGAAAAAAGACGGTCTTGTTCTGTCTTAAATTTAAACTTAGCTAGCCATAAACACTGACCCCAAAACATACCACGATATTCCTAACACCAAACAACGCATTCTTACTTACCTTTCTTACTACAGTCACCATAATACCTCATTGTCTCTATGAAGAAACCTACCTAGTTCCCATATGTACAATTCATTGTCTGTGGGGTGGGGAATAAAACAACAATTTAAAAACTAGCCCCAATGAATATTTACAATATGAATACAATCTGTTTACAAAAAACTACACAAAATAAAGTTAGTAATAACAAAAACCAACCAGACTTAAATGTGTCAGAAACATCATTGCAAAGATATTATCCGCATAATTACCATAAAAGTAATTATAGAAAAGACACAGAGAGGCAATCTTACGGCAGTAGGAAAGTGACTGAAGCCGATCCGCCATATCAGGACTCAAAATATCGCTGATTCTTTTTTTAATCATATCAAGGAGATCCAGGCAAATAGCAGGGTCACCTGACCATATGTTGCAGCAATATTCCAAGCATGGACGAATGGTAGACTTATAGATATGCATGACAGATTCTAGAGAGAAAAGTGGCTCGCACCTTGCAGTGAAGAAATATAAATTATGGATTTAATATAGTCTCTCAACACTATGTCAGCTGAGATCATTAGCCTGAGAAGGCTCAACTATTCAATTTCCTGCAGGTTAGCATCAGCCATGTTGATGGAAGGAAGCGAGGGGTCTCTCAGATGATTTAAGGATAAAAATTCAGTTTTGAAGGCTTTAAAATGATGAAGCCATCATTTGCTCAAGTTAAGAAAGGACTTGTTTTGAGCATAGGCTGTTCATTTTGACTTTGTCGGACTGATAGGCATTACTATCGAAACAGGAGAATTTTGTTCCATTATGATTTTTTGACGTTTAAGCAGCATTCGTACTAACACGTAAATATAGAGTTAATCATATAAAAATAAAAAATGGCGAAAATTTATCCATCGCACCCCGTGTATAAAGGGGAAAACAACTCCTAGTATTAATATTATTATTGGGAACACTGTATAAGGCTTTATAGCTCTAATGGTATATCCATATGCAATATTCCAAATACTTGAGCGTAATTCATGTATAGATAGATAGATAGATATGAGCAGACTAATATATATATATATATATATATATATATATATATATATAGGTAACTATATAAAAACTTCGAATTTTTGATTTGCCAAAAATCAAATCAATTTCGAGGGAAAAAGGTTTTTGATTTGCAACAAACATGAAAGTCTGTTGAAAAAAATCACATTTACAGGTTTGAAGCCCAAAAAAAAAAACCCGGTACGAGTAAACAACTAACTAACAAAAGAGCGAATACAAACGTAGAAGACCTAGATAAACCTAGTGAGCCAGACAAAAATCGGATCGTCAGAGACCAGGTTTGACGATCCGCTTAGGTGAAAACCTGAGGTTTGCCTGGCTCACTAGTTCTCTCTCTCTCTCTCTCTATATATATATATATATATATATATATATATTGCAAAATTTAATTTCTTTGTGGAGTTTTTAAACATTTCAATTCCTATCAAACGTTAAAATCTGTTTTTATCTAAATTGCTAATGCTATACCACCCCTCTCCTTCTTCCAAAAACCTAAGTACATCTGTTATCTCTCATCTCTTTACTTCACGCCTGTTTTTTTTTTTTTCCCCGTTTTTCTCTTTTTTTTTCCTTTTCCCATATCATTTCCGTTAAGTTGACCGATTAAATAGCTCAATATCAGATCCTTACCCACTCCTTCCTCAATATTAAGAATAATACTAAAAAGAAATATAAATTATAAAACTCTCCCTTCCCTCTCTAAAGTCGACCATATCTCTCACACCATTCCTCACCACCTTCTATGTCAACTTATATAAGCTTAATACTGCCCGTCAAAAGTCTAAATTTTAAATTCATTTTTCGTTCAGCTTTTGAAAGTTAAGTCTGAAGATCCAGAGAAAAAAAAAATTCTCTGGAGAAATAAATTATTACAAATGGAGCCTTAATGTCGTCTGTTTTCTTTAAATTATATATATATATATATATATATATATATATATATATATATATATATATCAAATCCAAATCATTCGACAATCTCACATATAGACAAAGACTAGCCTTTTTTGAACATTCGAAAAAATAATAACATAATTATAAAAGAAGCAGATTTATAGTAATCATGGACAGAACATACTATAAAACAAAAATTCTAAAAACACTAGAGGATAGGAACAGCTTTTGACACTAACATAGACAAAAACATTATAACAAAAATTACAAAACTCTGCACAACACATAATAAAATATTAACAAAAAAAAAGAAGGATTTCCCAATAAACTTTGTACCAAAAACAAGTTTTCTACGGACTACCTAAAATAAATCGAGTGAAATAAAAGCAGCTATACATACACAAAAATCTGAATACATTAGCATCCCAAACCGCAGTGACCTCCCATAGTAGCAGGACCAGTCTGTCCCACTACAAACTCAGTAACCTTAGACATAATATTGCAACCATATACTAAACAAATTAAAAGCCACATCAGAGACGATTTTTTCTGCATACCACAAAAGGTTTTTTTTATGGCAACTTTTGACATCTTTACAGTAACATACCCCATGAACTAGGGAAAAAGGATCTCATTCTGGATTGAAAAACATCCAGAAATAAATAGCTTCAATAAAGAGTTCATTATCGATAGTATAGACCTAATTCTAAACAATAACACCTTTGAATTTGACAACAAAACTATATCCAAACCCTAGGTACTGAATAATAACATAAACCCTAACATTATACCTAAAGAAAACCTTATGAAAAGATAGAACAAATATATGGGACAAATATAAAGACCCAATTCACTAAATCTTGAAAGATATCTAGATGATTGCTTCATCTTTTGGAAATCATCATGGGGTGATATTAACCATTCCATACACTACTTCAAAACTTACACCCAAAAAATCAAATTCACGCAAGAATATAATTTTAACGAATTACCATTTTAGATATACTCATTAGAAATAAAAACAACCACATAATCACAGATATCTAAAAACCCACAGACACGCAACAATACGTTCATTTCAAGAGCCATCACCCAAAAAGCTCGTTCCATCCCCTATTCCCTAGCACGTAGAATTTGTACAATAAGGACTGATAAACATCTCCGAAAAAATCCGAAAGAACTTAAAACTCTCAAGAAACGAGGCTAAACACTAATAAACAAAGGTATTGAACTCGCGAAAAGAAATTCCTCTAGACCAACTTAGAAATAAAAGAAACGTAACGTCGAACAAATGGATATGTCTCAACGTATGAAATCACAAAAAAATCTAGATTTACTTAGCAAGAATAATAAACTGAATA